AAAAAAAAAAAAGGCTTGATTTGCCTGAACTCAAAATGGGCGGAGTGTAATGATTAGAGAATAATGATACAATCTGCATGTAGGCTGGCTTAGCCTTTTATCGTCACCAAGCAGAAACCTCAGTTTGAAACTTGTGTACTGTCACTTTAACGTGTGATACCTTTGGGTATTTTTTTTCTCACCTGAATCAACATCTGGAAGAACCCTCCCATCTTCTTGACTTGACTTTTAAGTTCCTCAGCAATCGTGTAGAGCAGACCGGAGCAGGGTTTAACACTGGCCAACCACTGCATGGTAACAAACACTGCATTCTCTATGGCTGTCGTGGCCTTCACCAACTCAGTTTGTGCCACCAAATTACCCACAAACACTGCAAAAAAGAAACCACCAAAAAGCACCACAATAAAAGTTTGTGCCCAATAAACACCAGGCCACTTTTATGAATGTGGCCTGGTCATACATGCCTTTTGGCTCAGCTCTTACCTTGGCAGAGGACGAATATCCACAAATTATTCTTCTAATCATTACCTATCCATCAGTAGCTATTGATTTACTAATGTCTATGAAGTTGACTGGAACTCACCACTATCCTGGCTGTCATCATCCAGACTGTCGTATAGGTCAGATATAGTTTGGACAGCCATGTAGACCAGGTTTAGATCTGAGATTAACCGATCTGCCATGCTCTCCTCCGACCCTGTAGAACTACGCAGACGGGCCAGTGATTGACCAACTAGCTCCTTGCAGATGCCAGGCATCCCAGGGTCTGAGATGCTGGAATGGAGGGAGGGGGATTTGGTCACACCCATTAACCCTGGGTCAGACACAGAGAAGAGTGGGTGATGATCATTTGTCACAAAAAGCAAATGTAGTCGAGTGTTTAACAGCTGTAGCACTGAATGCTGCATGCAGGTCTGAAAATTTATATTCATGTAACAATGTCGCATTTTAGAAAGACAACAAGAGGCAGCTTTTCGCCACTCAATTCCACCGACATTTGCCTTTTAAGAACACGACGTTTAATATTTTATGCATATTTACTTGTGTTTCTTACCAGCAGACTGTGAGGAGCCACTGTGGAGGCTCTGAATGGGATGCACCCGGATCTCGTAGAGACGCCCTGAGATCCTTCTGCTCTTCAGCAAACTCCTGCTTCTAAAGCCAAACCAACCAGAAACCCACTTGGTACCGCTGCCAACGTTCAACATTTATACTGACTTTTTCTTTAGACACAGGAGAATAAACTTTACTTGCAAGAGAAACCCAGAGGTGGAAAGGTCAGTAAATAGAGATGATTGTTTAGGCAAAGGTTTATTGGAGTAAAAGAGCAATATGGTGGAGCCCCAGAGCCTGTGCAGTGTTTCATTTGGCTGTGCCTAGTGGTAGTTTGGGAACACCAGGACTGCTTGACAAGAATAACCACAATGTGAGGGGGAATATATTCTGCATGTACAGCAGGTGCTGTGTGTGTGTGTGTCCTCCATACCGCTCCCAAACAAACACCTTGGCCTGACCTGCATACGAAAATTAATAAACACAAGAAATACACCAAAGAGGGGAATATTTTTGGGCAGAAAGTTTTCAGGAAAAGAGAGAAAACAGGACTGCTTAACTATCAAGAAATATGTGCCAGGTTGTAAATCACAATGTTGGAAACTGGGAGGGCTGTGAAAATAACTCAAGTATTCCAAATTTACTTGAAGTATTTACCATCACTCAACTTTCCACATACGAAAAGTAAAACATTTTTTTT